CTTGCTCCGTTACTCAGTTTGGTCAGACGACAGATTCTGGTTCCAAACGTCTTCCATTTCATAATGACTGAGGACACTGTTCTGCTGGGAACTCTCAGAGCTTTAGAAATGTTTTATCCCTTTGTCCTGATCCATGTTTCACTACAGTTTTATCACAGAGGTCTACACAGAGCTCCTTTGTTATCATGGTCTGGTTTTTGTCATAACATAGAGTGTGAATTGTGGGACCTTATATAAACAGGTGAGTGCCTTTCAGTTCAGTTTGCCACAGGTGGACATCAAGTTCTAGACACGCGTCATGTGTCTGGAGTGTCAAAGCAAAGGCTCACTCTGAATAATTTTGAAATTGATCATTTCAGTTTTTCATTTTTAATAAATTGCAAATATTTCTAAAAACATATAGTCACTTTTAAAGTAATAGTTTAATACAATTTCAGAATGTGGGATGAAAACATCAATATCAGTCTTGTGGTTGTGTTGTATGTAAACAGCTGAAGTCAGGATGTGGTTAGCCTAGCTTAGCATAAAGACTGAAGGTGGGGGCAAACAATGAAACTATCAATACCACTGAGGCTCAATAATTAATACATTGTATCCCATTTGTTTTAACCATGCACATACAGTATGTAGTCTTTGCACTACATTACCCTAACCACATCCCGACTCCAGCCCTGTATTAACACACTGAGAAATTCAGATAAATTTTTTCATCTCACTTTCAACTACTAAGCAAATAAGGGTATTTTCTGCTTTGTTGCACCTGTTAATGCTACAGGAATAAAGAGTTTGATGGCTTCAGCAGAACAATTGCTCTCTTAAACTGAGTAAATGTTTAATCAGCCAAATAACTTAAAGCACCAAACAACTCTAGCATTTAAGACAGTACTTAAGTGCTTGAGTTGCAAATATTGTTGTCATTAAAGCCAAACTGCTATTTGAATTCTCCTCACTTTGTGTGTTAAGATACAGTATCTTCACTTAAATGTTGCTGCAGCAATTGTTCCAGACCTCATTCCCGGTATAGTTCACTTGACAGCAGCTGACCAGTCCATTCCTGTAGGATTTACATTCATGTGTACGTATTAACATCCAGAGTTCATGTGCAGTGTTAACAGCAGTGCAGGGTGCATGGCAGGCCCACAATGTGCATGGCTATCACACCACAGCTATCACATCCATGTCTCTGGTTAGTTGTACACACTGAAACACTAAGCCAACAGTCAGCCATGGGCCACCGTTGGGCCATCAGTGAGCATCTATCAGTGATTGTCTTCCCAGTGTGTCCCAAATCGTTGGCATTAGTTGAACCCTGTCGGCGGCTTTTTGGCTGATTTGGCATGTATTGAATCTCGACAGGGCTTCATCAGCGAGAGAGACCACTCTGACTGGCTGTTCAGCTTAGCAAATCAATGCACAAGAAGAAAATGGTTCGAGAGAGCCCCTTCAGCCTGTCGCTGTAGTATCCATGATTTTACCCATTTAGTGCAGTTTCTCCTTATTTTATGCCTAGATGACCTCCTTTCTTCTTCCACAACTAAAAGACCAAGGGCAGAGAACAACAGTGTCATTTGTAACTTCTGAGCAGACATACATGTAATTTCAGTTAGAATCAGGTATAAACAGCAGCTGATCTGAACAAGGGCTGGTTTGTTTACAGCTTGTATTTTCACTGTCTAAGTCTTCTTCTTTCCCTTTCTGAATGGTGAATACAGATAGCACCAGTAGTGTGTGCGGTATGTTCACGTGCCACTTTTTAAACCCAATTGACCAAAACAAAGGCAACATAAGGTGATACAACAGTCGGGGGTGACTCCGGGGGCGGAGGGTTGGAGCTTCGAATCACGGTGCAGTCAACATGTCGAAGTGTTCTTGGGTAAGACACTGAACCCCCAAGTTGCCCCTGATGGTTAGAGCCTTTGGTGTGTGTTGGCACCACAGACGGCTGCCTCAGTTTTGTACCGGAAACAAATTCCTTGGGTGTAACATACTTGGCCAAATAAAGGTGATTATCATTGTTATTATCCCTTCGTTACTACTAGTTATTTCACATCAGCTTGACATGTCCTGCCCTTAGCCAGAAAAACACTTAAATGTTAATAAACACGTTGTTCTGAAGTTACTGAAGAAACTCTTTCTGTATTAAACCAGACCAATTTGTTATATATAGATCTAATTTCCAGGAGAGAAGATTCAATAGTTTATGTTCTACTAGACATGTTCCATTAATAATTTGTTGCAACCCATCTTACTGTTAAGTTGGTCCTTCACTGAGATACTAGCACTTAATACAGTATTAATGTAAAATGTAAGTTATATCTACTTTAAATTTCTTTGGAATTTTGATTCAGTTTGGACCAAATTAGTGTACAGTTCACTCAGAATGCCAAGGAACACCAAGGATATCCTACAGTTCTGTATATTATTTTTGGAAAGCTTAATTTTATTTCAAGTTCTCTGAAGACCTCCAATTTTAAATCCATGGTGGACTGAACCATCCAAAAAGGACTCTGGACAGACAGAAACATACATATGAATTCCAGGTTTTTTTGGACACATTCTGCTCTTCACAAAAAGTTTATTGTCCATGTTCCTTCCTTGCACCTTATTGTGTACTTTCTGAATAACAATAATATTTCCACATTTGGAAACTTAGATTCAAGCATAAAGAAGAGCCATGCTGGTACATGTTCACATTAAATGACAAAGACACCAGAGAGAAAACAAAGACAATGTTTATTGAGATCTGTGATTCAGCAAAACACATGGGAAAACAACCACATAACCATTTTGTTTTACATTCAGAAAACATATATTTGGGCCTTTGGGGAAAAGCAACAAGTCTGAAAAAGCTGCCATTAATATTATCAATAAGATCTATTTAGAAACATTTTTTTTTAATTTCTGCCTAACAAAGTAAGCAGCTGATGGAAGTGGTGCTGGGTTAAGTGCTTGGGTTCTTCCTCTCCGCTGTTTGTTGGCATTTAGGTGGTGTGATTCAGGCAGTTTCAGGTTCCTGTGATCTTAACAATCCAGCCCAACAACTTGAAACTACCTACATCACACAACTCCAGAATGAAATCAGCACTTACTGGAGTTGAAGGTGGAAACTCCATCAAAACCAATGGGAAAGAAACTGATTTCTTCTGAAATATAATTATTACTAGATTAACACTTAACAATGAAACTAGTTGTGAAACTTCTCTCTCTCTCTCTCTCTCATATGTCATAAATGTATGAATTCAATTATAAGTTTATTATTGAGGTCATACTTAAAGGTGGTGTTGTACCAGACTACATTATATTCCTAATATTCTGATCCTGTCATGTATGTAGCTGGGGGGACAGAAATAATAAGACGCCTCTGAATATAATGTAGTCCAGTACACCTGTAACTATGACCTCAATAATAAACATGTAATTGAATTTATACACTTATGATCATTTAACAAAAAACTGAAACATCTTGAGCTTCATAAACACAAATGGTAAGGTGGAAGTGTTGCATTGAAGGGCATACAGTTGTACAGGTGTGCCTAATAAAGTGGCTGGTGAGTGTATATATAAAGTGTAACCACGCATGACAGAAACCAAGGCGGCATGTAATCCAGTGTTTACTGTAATCCATTGTTCAGTTTGTTATTGATGGATGAGTCTGAAATATGTCAGGGAGTAGCGGAGTAGTCAGGAGCTGCCAGTGTGAGCTGCAGGTGACAGGTTACACACATTTCTAGCTCCTTAATAAAGTAACCAAATGTTATGTGGCAAAACTACTCACGCCATGTGCAGCATGAAAACAAAAGTAGCCTAACATTTCACTCACACAGTAAGAGTTGAACCAATGATTAATGCTTCTTGTGGATGGATGAAGTATGTATATGGTTTGCAAATGTAATACCACTTGGCTGGTTAAATTCTTCTAGTTGATATTATGGCCCACTTTCAGCTTGGCCTTCAAATAAAGTGCTGTAGATTATCTGGCTAAACTGATGCTTCATTTAAAACATGTTTCTTCTTCTGACTGCTCATGTTTCTTGCCCCATCTGATTGTTGTAGCTAGATGGGCACAGTGTTGTCATGACCAGTCAGTAGAGGTCCAAGTTGTATTGTATAAAGTGTTTTCCTGTGTGTTCGCACAGAAAGCAAAACTAATTTTCACCTCGTGTTTGTGCAGCCAATGTTTGTTCACACAAACAGCCGTTGTACTGGGAAAGCACCCAGCGTACAGCAGTAACCAAAGCTGCTCAAATTAGCTAATGTTAGCTAGGTAGTTGGTTGGCTAGTTAGCTAAACAATATAAAGTTAAATGGCACCCTGGGCTTGCCCTTTGAACAAGCAGCCTGTAGCCTTACATGAATGAGATATGAGCATACTTCTCTATCTACTGCAAACAGTAATATCCAGGTAGAAAACAAAATAGTTTGTCCAAATGTCATAGTAGCTCCAGAGAAATAAAAACAGTCAGGGGCGCAGAAGAAAAAGAAAAGGCGGAATGGAGAAAACCGTCTGTGAATGAATGATTGCAGGCAGACTTTAAAGTAAAAATCACACAGGCCACAGATGGAGAAAGTTTCAATTACATGACCTATCACACTGATGAATAGCTCAAACAAATTTCACCCCAGCTCTTCTAAGACCATGGAGCCACCTCTGGCTGTGAGCTAGCAACAACCATGTGTATGTCAGCATGTTTGGGTTCAGCTCAGCCTCTGACTTATTTCTTTATGTTATTTCCCTCTAGTGCCTTTCGTTTTCGCTCTTGCGTCATGATATATCAATGTTTTCACTCATGTTGAAGTATTTCGAACTCATGCACATGTATCGGTGCATCATTTAGCACCACCCCGGGCGAATTTACATCTACATGTGTCTTTCCTTTAACTCTGATATCATACCACCACTAAGATTCGCTTTGCATACTGTCTGGACATGCAGTAAAGACATGACGTTAACAGAGACAAGAACATACCAAGAAAATTAAGGCAATTTATTGCTGTTTATTGTTTCTAATATTTATGACTTTACAGAACAACTTTGCATAAACTCTTTGTATTGTCTTTCCTTTGTTTTGCACTTCATCCCCTAAAACTATTCTCCACAGTTGGCAAGGCTACACTGTTTTACAGATTACACTTTGCACCTATAATTCACATGTGTGGCAAGCTTTGAAACACCTAAAGACAACTAGGGCTTTATATATACCAAAAGACTGACAAATGCAGAGCCGTCTGAACAGTATTACAGTTTAACTGTAATATAAGTACAAAAACTCACTTAAGATTTTTCCAGACAGTTTCAAGACTTGCAGCATTGTCTTCCTTTGGTTATAATTAAATGATTAAAGTGCAGGTGACTGAATCATATCCAAAAAGTAAAACCCCTTGAGCACCAGGTTTATGCTCGACTTAATGAATAGGCTATTAAAAAAAAAAAAAAGTTTAGAAATGTCTTTCTGCCATGATCTGAAGCAGCGAGATGATGACATATGATGAACTTTGTCAGGAAACCGAGATGGCCTGAGACCAGCTGGTGTGTGGATTAAATAGAAGAATTTAAATTAGGAATGATGTGAGGGATGGTTTCGTAGATGGAGATGCCTGTGAAAAAGAAAAGAAAAGTCAAATCTGCTCAGTCTCAGAGAATCAGTCGGTGCATTCCAAGGACAAAACTGAGCATCAAAGGAGAATGAGAGACTGGAAGGATGACAAAGAAGGCACAAACCTGCTTTGTGGTGTCTTTAGTTGAGGACCAGTAGACAATAAGGGGCAATAAGGCTGCTGTAAAACCACACTATGCAGTAATATACACCACTGGTACAACCACCTCCTCCACTTCCTCCAACCACCAATAAACTAGTTGGCCAATTGCCCCTGTGGTAAAAAGTGACGCTAGGAGAGAGAGAGAGACAGGCAGGAAATGGAAAGAGGCAGACATGAAGCAGGAGGCAGTGTGGCGGTCCCAACATGGCGCCTGCGGCCCTGCAGCCTGGGAACTGAGGCTGTCCTCCCTCCTTCCTCTACAACTGTCCTCCTCATCTTTCCTCTCTTCCTCTATTTCCTCTCCTAGTGTGTTTCCTTCTGCCTGTTTGACTCTTGCTCTTTGTAGTTGCTTCATTTTATCTCCACTGAATTATAGTCAGCACTGCTTTCCTTGCAGCGCCCCTTCTTTTCCTCCCCTCTATGCCTAACAAACAGACGGCAGCTGGCAGTTGCAGCAGCAGCAGAGGAAGTTCAGCCATGTGTTCCTGATCAAAGCTCCACAGTGAAGCCCCGCGGGTCGCTTCTCCTGTGACGTTTAGCCAGTGAACAAACAGGGATGGTCAGGAGGAACGGAGTTCTATTGCTGACTCGCTACACTGTCGCATTGTGGCGAAATGTCAGACAACAGAATGGTTTGTTTGCCCGTGTTTTACCACCAACAACTCACCTCAACTTAGCCAATTAGATATGTACTGTAAAAGGGTCCTCCACTCTCCACTCAGCTGTCTTGAACCCTTGCAGGAAACAGGACAATGGTTATTTAGTGTGCCTGTAAAGAGAACTACAGAGACTACTGGAGCCTTTTACTGCAGCTCTATCAGTGCATCTGATACTGATTACACTGCTAGAGCCTGGTGTTGTGGTGAATTTGTAGTACAGATAGAAATGAAATGCTTTATGCAGGAGTCAAGCACAGTCCTGACGGATGCAACCAAGCAAGTTTTTTCTGTAGCAGTGAGACTGATGTCTCTACAATCACAGCTGCTACTTCCTCATTTAGAAATTAACAGGAGACTTAAGTAAAAATGAATATGGAAAAGAATTTGTTCTGCCTGTGTTATAAAATGTATTTGAGAACAGGAAGTGGAACTCACCAGCTTTTAGAAATAGAAACGAGAAAGCTCTCACAGGAAATGTGACATCAGTCGAACCACTGACATGTTCCCCGCAGACCAGAGGGATCTAGGAAACAAATACAACAAGCAAAACTACAAATCAGAGAGTTTCCAGTGGCATGGACATGGTATGAATGAATCTGGATGTTATACTACTGCTGCTGCTAATGTTACTACAGGTACAGCTACTTCTGTGACTATTACTACCACTCCATTTATGACAACTGTGGCATTTCTATTTGTTTTGCTTTCTGTGGTCTTCACGCTAACACATATGCAACTAAATAGCCCATATTTCATGTGCTATTTGATGCAAACGCAAAATAAATTCTTGGAAATGGCTTTTGTTTATTTCATAGGAGCACAAGATAGGAACCTAACCGTAAAGTTTGGTCAGCTTGTACATCACAGTTAAACCACCTCTGGCCTGCACACTGGTTTATTTTAAGGAAAATTACAGATGCCGATTTTTAAAGAGAGAAGATGACGACCATAAAGACACGCTATAAATGCATAATTATAATATGTAACAATTCCAGTGTGTTTAAAAAAAAAGAAACACCAAACATTGACAGTGCTTTAAAAATATCATAGTAATATAGCCTATATTTATTTGAAACAAAAAGTGAATGCAGCATCTGAAACTATAAAAAAAATAATTTATGGAAGTTATTTTTAAATAGCATGATATTTACTTTAAAAAAAGGGCAGTAGAAATTAAAGCACATTATTCAAACTACAAAACAGACTGAAGCTGTGGTCATGCAGACAGCAGGGCAGCTTTACAGAATGTCCCCCAAAATGATAGCAGCTAGACAAACGTTCCATCTTTCAGGGCAGTAGGTCCACCACTGAAGAAACCTCTGTGAAGTGGGGCTGGGTTTAGAACATAAGCTCATAAACTAATAAACAGATTCTAGTATTTTAGGTTGGCTAGATTTAATGTGGATGAGTTTTAGTTCATGCAGCAAAACAAGACAGTATCAGTTCAATGGGAGATTTTGCCATTTGACCGGACAGAACCAAAACATTTGTTTTAAAGTATTGCTAGTATATACATATTTAAGTGTACGATCAGTGAGTTTTATCATTTAAAGAGTGGGATAGTTTTAATTCTCAATGAATAAAATGTTAAAATGTGGACTGTCTAACAATTATCATTATATTAGTTATTTGAATTGTACATTTTAAACTCTGCAGTAGGAAATGTATTGTTTTTTTTAAAAAGCACATCAGTGTCCCGCTTTAACACACAAGCTCATGGTACCATGTCCTAAAACGTAGCCCACTAGGAGACTTTCCTCCGGACTTTTAAGAAGACTTTACTGAGATTCTAATCTTGGCACGTTGAAAGTGATGCACTGTGGCAATATTTCTAACACTCCGGTTGAAACACTGGTGGACGCCTTTCAGTAGTAAATGAATAAATAAATAAAGGGAGGATTACAAATCAGCTGTCTGTGGCTTTTTTAACGGTCTTCTGTCGTTACGCACAGAAATGGGCACCATCTCACCATCAGAGGACGATGGGCAGACTGAGTCCCAGGTCCTCGGATGGGAAATGAAAAGAAAATTGAGCTAAATATAAATTGCCTCAGATTTGTATTTGAAAAAGAAGTGGAGAGATGCGCTGGAACACAGGAGAATTAGACCTGGGGAAATAAAGATAGCGTCCTAACCCCCAGAATACACAGATCAGAAGTTTCCTCTTCCTTTAGGTAAGTGTGGACATTTCAAAAGTAAGAGCCAAAAAAAGAAAGAATCCTGAACACAGGTATGAACATGAACAGCGTGCGAATGCTTATATTTTGATTTCCACGATAATATTTCACACTGCTGTCTCGTTAAGCTGTCCTCACTCTATTTCATCTCCAAGACATATTGCCACATATCGAAATAATACATTTAGGAAGTAATATCTTTTTCGTCTTTGACCAACTGACTGATCTCATACCAGCTAAATAACGATACAAGTCGAGCCTTGTGGAAACTGTGTGTGCGTCCAGAATGAGAGGTGTGTAAAAGTGCAGCTACAAGGAGCAGACGTTGCACGTACAGTTGGTCGCGATCTCCATCACTCTATTCTCCTGCAGCTGCTGCTCCATCTTCATTCTCCGGTTCTGGATCTTCCTCTAGCCAGCATCCAGGCGCAGACGGCCGGGCGGTCTGCCGCAGTGACCGTACGCCTTCACCCGGCCTCATCTGGAAAGGATGGAGGGAGAAAGACGGGGTCACATTTAAAAAATATATATTATTCATCTTTCATTACTAGTAATGGAAAGGAAAGCTTTAAACAAAGACGAAATACAACGGCTAAGGCAGGCAATAGCCTGAACTCTCTTCTGTATGCAAGTGGCATCGCTGAGCACACGAAAATCCTGCAACTCGAAATTTCCAAGAATTGGTGAAAAGAGATTTTTTTTTAATTTGCATTTGTTTGTTCCATGGTACGCCAAAATGCATAATAAAATAGTATAATTACTGCTTATAACAGCAAAAATAATAATATTACTAGGAAGAAAAGGAATTCCACACACTAAATGAATCCCTTCGTGTGTGAGTGTGTGTGTGTGTGTGTCCTGCTGTCTTCTCTGTGTGCTTGTCTATAAAGACAATGTGAAACGTAACGTTTTGATCACAATAAAACTGCAGCAATGTAACAACGTGATGTAGGTTAGATGAAACAGATTGTAGGCCCAGTAGGTAGGCTACACTGGAACTGGACTGTGATGAGCTGTGAAACGTGATACACGTTACAGACACCCCTGTTAGCCTGGTTCGGAAAAGTGGTTTAACGTCCTCTAAGCCACACTTCACTTTATTAAGCTCATTTTAAACATCTGAGCATCAACACACACTGACTCTTTAAATGGGCCGAGAGTGAACACGGACTGAGATGTGGGCTTGTTTGCTAAGGAATATACTGAAGTCCTGACCCACACGATTTGTTCTTACAGTCCCGCTTCTCAACTGCTTAAACAGCTATTATAATAATAATAATAATAATAATAATAATAATAATAATAATAATAATAAACGTGCGAATTCCGTTTCATAACTCACGGAGAGGTAGCAGATCTTTTAGCTTTCAACACGGGAGTATAAATAAATATTGGAGCAATTTATTAACTATTTATTTTGTGATCTCAGAAAATGTTTTTGCAGTTTACAAACTGGTGAGCGACCGAAAAGGAACAGTTTGAAGAGGAGGCGGCATAAAGAACTATAGGCACGAACACCCGCCTGTACAAGGCCGTGGATACATGCACACATATCTGCAAATTCCAGTCAACAGCTGCCTATATCGTATTTTTTATACAAATGCATCTTGTGGGTTAAAAGAGGCAAACACACGTCATTATTTGCAAAGGTCATTTTATTCCCACTTTGATGTTCTGGTCAGAGTGTTTGAGTGGCCCTGAGAGGTTTCCAGCTTCTTTAGCAGCAGCCAGCGAATATTAAACCTCAGCTGAGGCAGCCTTTGTTGTTGACGACAAATTCTGCTCGATTTAGACCGAAACTATGGTTTAATAATCATAATTTCTGAATACATGCCCCCTACTGTAGCTATTGTTTTAACAAAGCAGCTTTTTGTCTCTGAAGAAGTCCAACAGGGCTATATCAGATTAATAGATATCCAGTCTTCCACGTTTATATGCAGCTTGTTGACAGTATATATTAAAAACTACTTTAAAAAACCTGACTGACATATTGGGCTGACATTTTAAATTTAGTGAATGCAATAGAAGGCCATTAAAAAGTAAATGCTTACCGTCTAAAGCTACAGTCAGCTAAAACACATAAAACGTTTCTTTTCACCCACAGGTCAAATTGCTGCGAACCAGCAAAATCCAATTAAAAAAAGTCCTGATTGGTTCTTTACTTAGGAATGAAACAGAAGGCTCATCAGCGTCTCTGTAATAACCAGCAGCTGTAGTGAGGAGAGACAGATGATTGTAGAGTTATGGGTCGAGCAAATCAGCATTTTAGTTTTTTGCGTGTGTGTGAAGGAGAGAAAACTGTCTTTGTTGTGTTTGAAGAAACTACAATATTATGCTTACACTGTTTGTTTCTGTCGTGCTGATCCACTGGATGGAACACACCTTTATTTAGCTGTTGATAATAAAACCGCCCTTGTAACTTTTAATATATAGATTTGATCCAGCCATGCCATCACCGTGCGCGTGTTTTGGACAACTGCGTACATATATTCACAGACACGTTCCTCTGCATGCAAATGAGGTGATCAAAAAACGAATAGCACTGCTTTTGGTTTGTGTCAGGGTGGGATACAGCTGGACACACAGGCCCAGCCGGCCCGGCCCTGGGTCCTTCCGCAATAAATCCATTTCAGGCAGAGAAGGAGAGAAGTGGGGGGTAGAATGACTGTCTTTGTTTTTAAGAGCCCGCCATAAAAAGAAATAAAGAGAAGTCAGAAACAGTGTGAAGCAGACAGGAAGGAGAGACAGACAGAGGAGTCACCTTGTCTCGCCTCCAAACCGACACCACCACCCCCACCCCCCAGGCTGCTGCTATGGTCCAGCTCCCTGCTATTACTGCCCTCTGTCCATGCCTTCTGCTGCTGCTTCTTCCCTGGTTCTGCTTGGCTACCCCGTGCCTGTTTACAGCCCACCTCCATCTGTTGGTTCTGTCTCCTCTTCTTTTGACGCATCTATCCTTCCTTCTCCTCTCCATCGCGCCTATCTCTGCTCATCCCCCGCTTCTTTCATTCTTCTCATCCTTCCTTTATTCATTTTCCTTATCATTCCCCATCTCTTCTTTCCTTCCCCCCCTTTCTTTCTTTATCTGCACATCCAGTCATCGTCTCTACCTCTCCTTTCTTACCTTGTGTCAGTGGTCCTGGTCCGCTCTCCCCCTCTCAGGCCATCTTCCTCTGTGCTGCCGCAGCTGCCGCAGCAGTCCCTGCGTCTGTTTTGGGCTGGAACCGAGTGACATCCTTCTTTACTCCTTTCCCTTAGTTCCTCGTGTCGTCTATCGGGGAGCATCGACAGCACTTCTCTTCCTCGTACCTCCCTTTTTCGGTGTGGACTATCCCATGCGCTACGGGGGTAACCGGTCGCTTTCCTTCAGAGTAAGGTCTGAGTATGCGTGTTGTCCACTGGAGAGAAGGTGTGCAAAGAGGTGTAGTTTGTGTTGGACTGATGTTAACAGTAAACACGTGCGTTCGCCCATTTTGGTGCGCTCATGCCCCATTCTCCTCATATTATTAACCTGGTTAGTTTGACGCGGCGGCAGGTTGCCGGAGCGTCGGTGCTTTGACTACCTTGGAGTCTTTGGGTTGTGTGTGGGATGCGGCAGGGCGGGGTAGGGAGCTCCATTAAGGAGTTAATGGAAACGCTCATTCACTGGGCGTGTGTGTGTGTGTGTGTGTGTGTGTGTGTGTGTGTGTTGCGCTCTATGTGCAGCGCAGGAGAAACATTCGCGTGAAGAAGGCTCATATTTTGTGTTGATGGGCATGGAGGCAGGTTTTTGACTGAAAATGCTTATTTAGCCTACTATCAGAGGTTCGCGGACAGACCACGCCCCACACTCTGCCCGACTGTTCTTTCCTTTCTTACTTATTAATAACAGTAAATCGACTATAGGATCCATCAAAACGCTCTGTCCATATTTCACTGCTGCTTCAAAGGAGAACCTGAAAATGGGCAGGAGGTCGAGGCAGAGTCGGCCTGACTCACATGCATCCAATTATGGAGCAGTTCAGTGCAGCGGTGTAGAGGATTCGGTCAGTATCATCGCTCTGAGATAGCGGAGTGTTTTAATGTTCCCGAGGAATGTATGGAGAAAAGAATGTAAAGGTAGCAAACGTATAGTTCCAAGAGTTCCAACAGAGCTGCCGGGGTTAAATGAAGAGCAATTTTTCCTTCAGAGCGCCGGCCCGACCAAAAAAAAAAAAAAAAAACCCAGCTGCAGAGGGCTTGAACGCCAGGATTAGGCTCCCCCCACGTCTGTAAGGTTTTCCTCACATACGTGGTCCAGCATTAAAAATGAACAGTAGTCTTTGTTACTTATCTTCAAGTATGAAATACTGCAGATTTTACTGAACATGGTGAAGACAGACAGCTGGATGAAAACTCCAGCGGCATCCTAAAGCCCTTTAAAGGATCTCTGCATATATAAGCATCTGGTTTCTACTTCGCTTTAATAGTCATATTATATATCTTCAGAAAACAAACGATGCGAATATTGGTTTCAACCATTGGTCAGGTATATTATTTTTCCATAAACAGATGGAGTATTTTTTTTTTTTTTTTTACAAATTTTGGCAATGATGGTTTCACAAAAATACTATAACATGTGGGCTGCTGTTTAATATTACAAATAAGAACAAGAAGGGAGAGAATGCAAAGCACAGTCTTAAATCATGTTTACAACATGAGTAGAGTGTCTCCAGAGAAAGAGTCCTACCGAATTGGATAAAACTAACTACTGCATCTCACTCTTTCTGCAGATGCTGCACTAACAGGCAGCGGAAGGATTTGGCAACAAATTCCAGGAAAGGAAAGAGACAACAACCATACCGATGCTGATGGCGGCTCTCAAACTGGATTTGGGGTGTGATGGGCCGGATGCAGTGCAGGCTGTCTGTTTGCAGGAGTCGCTGTTGTCTCTCACACACCTCATTCAACTAAACGCTACAGCCTAAACAGCATAAGTTTCATATATTCCCATCATATGTGACATTGATACAAACTGCTGCTGCTGCACAGAGTGTTTCCGTGGCTGAATCAGAGAGAAACCAAACAGAGGACACAAAACAACCTAAAGCTTCATGGGAATTAGGCTACTGAAGCAATTTATAGTAAAACTGGCCTCATTTCTGTTTGCACTCACATGTAAGGAGCTGGAAGAGCTCTGCTACATTTTGACAATTTAACTCCACAGTAAAAAAAAAAAAGAAAGAAAGAAAGAAGGAGAAGTTAGAATTAGCCTATTTTATAATAAGCGTGCAATATACTAATGTGTAACTACATGATTCGCGATAAATGCTTAGTGGCTACGTGTATTGCTGTTGTCTTTAAACGTGTCTACGTCCGTATTTTGAAGTTTTGTGATGAGTTGACCCCATGTGGGTCTGAATGAATGTTACTTTATAGTTACTTCGCAGTGTCTGCCAGTACCCTGACACAACATATACGGGCTTCTTCCTCGTTTCCTTACTATTTAAACTGCAGAAGAAGATGGAATGTGTCTGTCCATTCGCTCCTGACAGCAGGCACCAACGCGCAAGGTACAAAACACAAATATAGCCTAGGAATAAAATAAACACATAAACATATGTTCCACCCCTGGCTTGTGCATGTGACTTGCACAAGGACGACTGTAGACGTTTCCATGATGGAAGCGGTTTTATTTCTATCACAGCTGTTGTGTTTTCAGATGGGCTGATTTTAAATTTTATTGCCTAAGTTGGTAGTGAGGCCTCCGTATCCTGAGCCATGTTCATTTGCAAAGGTAATTTACCCTGTTATCAAAAACAAGCAAAGCAAACTAAACAGGGTTGTTCCTGCTTTCTGTTTGAACTTCATCCTACAGTTTTGCTTCCCCTTCTGGAGTCCAGCAGGCACCAATAATAATAAAAATTCAAAATCAGTCAGTTTATTTTCTTTCATATAGGCTATTCAGACCCCATTTACCAGAACCGTATAACGCTTGACTTGAGCACTAACTGGACTTGAAATTGACAGGGAAATAAAGCGTTATTATTACATACAAAAAAAGAAATATTTCAGAATTGAGGCAGATTAAGTCATCTCCGTTCCTTTTGTTTGCCAAAAAGTCGCAGACACACTGACATGTACAGTATGTTAGTGTATGTCTCACTCTTTGTCAGACTGTCACAGAAAACTGCGCTTCGGGATGATACTGTACGAAAAGCACTGTCAGCGTTTAACCGTGTCTTGCTGTGTAATGGATCATTTGTAGGGGACCTATAATAACATATGAGCTCCAGATCGTTTCTAACACCTATATAAAGTTCCACTTAATTTAGAAAGGGTGATATAGTGCCAAATTTCTCTGTCTAGCTCCAGTCAGTGGAATATTAACGGGATCAACGGGATCAACGTAAACTGATAATCACATTAACACCAGTCCTCGACCAAAAGTTTCTTCCCCCCTGGAAGAAAAGAAAAGCCGGCATGTTCCTGACTAGTACAAAACTCAACTGCATAGCTTCGAGCTATGAGCCCAGATGGAGAACAACAGAGTGTGCGGTTTGTGGATGAGCGCACATCTGGTGTCCAGATCGGCTTTTCACTTCATATCTTGCCACTTTCGGCTCTAACTCTAGGATAATGAGTCAAATCTGTTTGCTAAGGGCCACTTCTGACTGGCTCACTGAAAAGATATTACCAAATGTGGAACGGGAAAGTAAAGTGGGCCCTTCTTCGATGGTTAAACGGAGGATCACCTGGGGCTGCACTCCTGTTTGCATAGGTTACTGCAGACGGGATGGCGAAGGACAACGGTGGTGGCCATAATGGAGGGTTACTTGACTTCTTTGTTATGTCTCTCCTGCGTTACCTGTCGCCCAGTCTGTCAGTCTCATTGGTGTGGATGCAATAACAGTGGCCCTTGTGGTTTTCGCCGCCTTTCTCTGGCTGGTTGTGACGATGCCCTGTTCAGTGTGTGTGTGTGTGTGTGTGTGTGTGTGTGTGTAAAGTAAGAGAGGGGCATCCTGTTTTCAAAAATGACATTCCAGTGATTCAACCCCTCCCCCGCCCCTCTTTTTCTCTTCTCTCCGTCCACCTTGGTAAACTCCCCCCTCCCATCAGGTCAAGCTCGTATAACTCGTTGCTATGACAACGTGACCCAGTTCGCTATAAAGTCTTACAGCACAGAAAAAAGGCCCGAAACTCCCACTCTGCCTTTATTGCAGAGTGTGTGCGTCACTGAATGACAAGGATGAACAGAATCCAAGTCGGAATAGACTCTGACCTCTCTCACTCCAGTGAACGAGTCATATGGGCATTGAGACCTTTTCTAAATCGGGCCAGTGAGCGCATTATGAGAATTAAAACCTGTTTATGGAACTGGATTTGCATTTCTTGCAGGCGGAGGTTGAGGTCTTTTTGTATTAACTCTAGTTTCACTGCCCTCCGAGCAGATCAATAGGGTGACCTGCTGCAGCTGCACGGTCTGCACAGCCACACACGGGGGCTGCAAAGGCCGTTTTATTACAGTTACAGATCCGGTACCCCCTTTTACTGGCCCTGGGAGAATAGCGAATAAATTGCGCAAAGTGAAGGAAAGCGCAGTCATCAATTATTCAATATTAGACTGGCGAGTGACATTCAAAGGAGCAAAACTGATGAAAGCCCTCATCTACTGAATCTCACAGTGAAGTGGCCGTGTTTTGTTGCATTCTCTGAAACCGAGATGCGCAGTATAACATAGATAAAAGCGACCAGCTGTCACAATCAGCACGTATTTAATCATTTTCATCTGACCTTAATCTGCATATTTACAGAACATTAACATAGCCTGTAGTTTTGATTTAGTAGGCTATGTGGATAAATACAGGATTACCGGTAACACTGCATTACAAACATGTACCAAGGAAAGCGTGTGAGGAAATGACGTGATAATCAATGAATAAGAACAATTTCGAATCAGGGAATATGGACGAGTTACTGAAAAACTAAATTGGGGTCAACATAGCGTGTTAATGAAATAACCTTGTTAATAAAATCCACACCACATGTGGTAATGCTGCATGGTAAAAGCTCATAGGCTACCAAAGCCAGATGTCTTCTTCTGGACATGTGGGCTTTCAGAAGTAGCAGAGATATTTATAGTTATGCCAACTATGTCTGCTCTTCAATTATTCAAACATCTTCAGAAATCGGGGGGGTCTGGATCAGTCAACACTCCAGTGAAGGCATTTCCCACAAAGTGAGTTCACTCGTTTGTTGCTCATTTCCAGCACCTCTGAGACACATATGCTCTGATGTTTAAGTACAGCTGTGAAACCCATTTTCCTAGCAGTGTTCATTCGCTGTGTTGTTCAAAACCGTTGTCTGAGGCACGTCCTTTAGTGTATGGACAGGGCTACTGACTATGTAAGAAATTATTCTGTAGGTTTTACAAATTACCTAAAGGTTGAATGAATTAAATTAATCTGATTTAGCATCTTATTCT